ATTTTGTCTAACTGTTGGTAAATAACAAATACTAATATTCTTAAAATTAAAATTACGTAAGAGTTTAAGTTTGTCTGGACCCATCAAAGACGTATTACATAATTTTTTAGTATTTTTATCTGTCCAAAATTGAAATGTTACACCAATTCATTTCATTTCTACTAATATTTCTTGCTGAATTTTATTATCTAACTCTCCATTTCGTTGTAAATCAGATAAAAATAGTTCAAAAAGTCGATCTGTAATGCGAAGCATTACATGTAGCTCGTCACACACCCAATTTTTAAGATCAATCATATCGAATAAGGGTGCACGTTGATGCCCTCTAATGTTAAAAAAATTTTTTTTTATTTGTTCTATATTTTTGGTAATTGTCCAATCGCCAACTAGTTTATTATTTTGATCAAGAATTCCATTTTGCTGTTTCGTACATGTACACCATGGACAAAAATGATTCACATTTGCAGAATTAAATCCTAAACAGATCACTAAAAACTTTCAATCTGCGCTAAAAAAAAATTCCACATTCCAATACAAGCCGTTAAGTTGGTAAAATCCGGATTCTCTTAAATTGTTTAAATCAAAAATTAATATGCAAAGTGCATTTTGAAGAGATTGATAATTTTCTGATCCAGAGTAAAGAACAAGTATATGATACCCTTCAGGCTTATGTAGTCTTTCTATATCATTAAGTATTATAGCCGTTACCATAACATGCTGAACCTTTCATCCTACATTCCTACTATCCCCAGATATACGAAGTTTAATAGTTCTTTTTTTATATACTCAGGTACAATAAAATTTAATATATCAATTATAGAACGCTGTCCACCTTTTCTAGCAGATTCAACTACATTATTAACTATGTCAGAATCAGTAATATGAGGTTGATCTTCAGTTAATTCAGAAGCAACAGAGGTTTCTTCTACATTTATAAGTAATAAGGGAACTAGATTTTGCATTTGTTTATTAAGTCTTTGACGTGTACTTGATATTGCACCCTCTCTTGGCAAATCTTGATTAATACGTGCTAATGATCGATAAGCTTCACGAGATATCTTGCCTTTATCTAATAATTTTAGAACCGCCAAATGCAAATTATCTATCTTTTCTTGGTTAACTTTTCTATATTGAATTTCAAATGGCTTATCATTTATAGTAAAACGTGCTTGCTTAATTTCAACTTTATCATCTTTATGAAAAATGTTTTCTTTACAAATTTCAACTTGATCAAATACACGTTTGGCCATTATCAACATATGACGTCGTTGAGTAGAATTACTGAGATTATTAAAGGGTTGAACTTTAAGATAGATATTAGATGATAATATTTTTCTAACTATACGAACAGAATTTAATTGTAATCCAAACAATTGTACATCTGACATTCGAATGTCTTTCTTTTTATTCTCATTTTTATTAATCGTATTTGCATTTATTTCTTGAATATCTTCACTTAACAAAGTTCCTTTATTTTTTAGCTTTTTAAGACCCTTCAAAGATATTAATTTTTTAATACAATATTGCTAATGCTAATAAATTTTTTTAAAATTAATTATATTTACCTTGCAGTATTTAGCTGCGGCATTTGATGGAGATTTTGTTGAATGAACCATATATTTGTCAAACTGTATTGCAAAATATGGCTTGTCATTGATATATTGGATAGAGCATTCTGCGATATATTTTTTTTTTCCATATGTTGTGCGAACAATATACTGATCAGGAATAGCATATTGCTCTGGTTTCTTAGTATATGCAAGTTTATGTAAAGAAGGATAGACACCTTTATTTATAATTATATAGTCCTATGATCTATGCGTGCTTTTAAAAAAAATATGCGAGTCTTTAGGATATGCACTTATTTCTTCTCCCTTCATGACTGTCAAATGAAAAAGCGTGTATGCATGTACAACATCTATTATATTGGGTTAATATAGTACGTACGTTCGTACGTAATCAAGTAATTAATCACATGAATTAAGTATGATTGGCCATTTT